TAAATTCATTTTGAGGCCTCCATATCAAAAATCAATCAACCAACCAACAAACACTGAACAAAATTTATATAACAAACAATGAATCAGCTCCCTTATATTGAAAACACTTGATTTTGCTTTGAGCAACAAATAAATTAAAAAAATTAGAATAACTACAGGATCATTCTCATGTGTTTTTAAAAATCCCCATCATAACAGAATGCAGATTTTATTGCAGTTACAATAAGTTTGTCTTTTAATTCACCCCTGAAGATGACCTTGAAAAGATCAAAAGTGTGTTAACAAAAAAAATGGTCCATTATGTGAAATCAAGAAAAAATAGTATATGATTATTCAATGAAACATAGAATTTGGTGAAGAATGAAGGAAAATGAGAAGACTTTGGAAGGAACTGGAAACCCAATCCTAAACAGAAAAAAAGGGATAAACTTCTACTCCTATTCAAAAGGGTGGAGGGGAGTGTGAGTGAGATGATAGGTGAATCGAACAAATTCCATTAGGTGAAAAAAATATATATAATATCAAAGTTTAGACGCAGATATTAGAAGTATAGAATTGAAGTGGACTTTAGAGAAAAACAGGAACCAAGGGATAAACCTTCACTACTCCTGTTCAAAAGTCTAGGGAGGCATGTGAACCAGACTCATATATATATATATATTATATTTTTATTATAATATTTTACATCGCTACACAAAAACTTTCATGTTTCGGAAATATAATGTTCCTTCATCAGGCAATTATAGACAACTTATGATGAAAATGATTTATTTCGGAAACTAGAAAACAAATCATTACCTCATTTGAAAATTAAAAAGAAGTGGGGAAAAACTTAATTTCAAAATTATAAAATATACTTGTGGGCATGTCAGGATTAACCAATCAAGAGACAGATCTAAGCTAAAAGGGAAAATGAAGAATAAGGTCAGAGGGTGTGGGTAGGTGGGTTATTAATTAATGTCTTAGATGAAATGACACTTTAAACATGGCCAACAGCAGACAAACTGTTGCAAGCAAAGTTTAGATAAGAAGTAGACAAGGTTGTATTAAACAAAATGTTATTTTTAAGGAATTTCAAAATTTTTTATACTACAAAACCTTCTTAAAGGAATCACTAGTATAATTAAAAAATTTTTTATATATATATGGAACCTAAAATTCAATACTTATTATATTGAATGAGCAATGTAACAAGGCAATATTAACGTTGGAAAAATCAAAGAATTTTATATTTACACACACTTAATTCCTGATATTGGGCCTTTAAAACCATAAATATAGCATACCATAAAACTATATTTTTTTATATATATATATATATATATATATATATATATATATATATATATTTATTTATTTTACTTGGTTGGTCATGTTGCAAGGATGACTGACAACAGAATATCTAAGGTTCTCATGTATAGTCAGCTTGACAGTGGACAAAGGAGTGTTGGGCAGCCATGGCTCAGGTATAAAGACAAGCTAAAGAGTAACCTCTCGGTTGTCAATGTGCCTCGTACTAACTTCAAACAAGTTGCCCTGGATAGAAATAAATGGAAATATTCGTGCCAGAGTGGTATCAAAAATTGAGAAATTAGTCATATTGACCAGCTAAGAGACGAAAGAAAATGGCAAAAAGAATCAGCAAATACTTCTGTGGCTATGTCCTGTGATCCTCACTGTTGCGCAATATGTGGATTTGTATTCAGGTCACTAGCGGGACTGAAGTCTCATATACAACACAAATATAAAAAAGGTTGTCGGATCCTCATATATTGAAATCGATGGGAGAGTCCATCATCATATGCATACACACACACAAACACATCCAGACTCAGCATATTTCTGTAATCAGTTAATTAATTTACATTAATGTTTGTTGTATTTTTTTAATGACATCAATTAAAAATAATTGAATTATTGTATAAGAAATAAAAAAAAAATATATTCAAAATGTAATAAATGTCAAGCTTCATAGCAGATTTGATGTCTGAAAAATCTGTCAATAAAGCAAATCAATCTTGAAATAGTTCAAAACAATTCCTTTTTGCATCATTATCAAAGATTTCATTGAAAAGTTGTGAGGTTTCTTTAACCTTTAGACATTTATCTTGAAGCCTCAAATTGCAGCTAAAACAAAAAGTATAATTTTGAAGAATTTTTTTTCTATGTGCAATGTCCCTTCAGGACGTTGGCAATCATGGCTCTCCATAACTTCCTATCTTTTGCACCCTTTAGCAATATTCATCTTTTTATTATTATTATGGTAATTTACCCATGCATGCATGGACTCTCCCAGCTATAAATAGGAGCAGGTACTGCCTTTTAGAGAGTGTAATTTCCAGCAGTCAGCTCTGACATTTGGAGTGAACATTCTTGCTCGTTTGTATGTTTTGTATTACTGTTTCTGTTAATATGTTTGTTTAACTCAATTCCTCTCTTTGTGTCTTTATTTCTGGCCCCAACAAGGCCATAACAACTATCCTCCTTACTATCAAAATATCAATTGAGGATGTAGGTAATCATGACTCTCCTCAACTTCCTATCCTTTGTAGCTCTTACCAATCTTTGTTTTTTTTACTACCCCACCTATTCCCTATTCCACTATCCATTTGCACAAGCTTGTTAGGTAGGTTACTTATTGCTTTCCTTTGTCCCTCTTGCCTTCAATATGTCCTGTGTGTGTCAGATTTTCTAAGCCTTCTTCATCATGTTTCATAGAAATCTCGACTGGCTCTTTCTGTTTATAAGTGTTCTTTTTGTTTCCATTTTTCTTAAAACGTCCTTATTGCTCATATGCTCCATTCATGGCATACTCAGCATCCTTCTGTAGAACCACATCTCTGTTGCTCCTAAAATAACTGAATGAATAATATCTGCATTTGCTGATAAATCTTCTAGGCTATAAGAAGGCTGTTGTGACAAAAACACGTTTTTAAACTGTTCTAGAATCTGTTTTCATAATTCTAAGATTATTGTCGAAGAAAGAGTTAGAAAAGTTGAGTTGAAAAACAAAGGAATGAAAGTAAAATCTGAGATTATAAATACGCATTCACTTTCAATGTACATATTACCAGAAATACCCATAATAGCATTCCAAATTTCTAGGAACCCGTTCTATAAAGGGAGATAATTTTTACAAACCTATTCTGTTTATTTTCTTTTCAATCTGAGAACGGAAACAGATCACTTTATTTGCTTCCTATATATATATATATATACCTCCAAATGTAATCAGAACAAAAATAATATAAATTCTAATGTTCACAGCATTAATTCAAAAGAGGGGTCAATACCAAGAGTAGAACAATAATTATTTATTATAAATTTTTACATTCAAACAAAAACAATTACTCACAACAAAAATGCATCTTTGTCGTGAATAATTGTTTTTGACTGTATATAAAAAAAATTGTAATAAATAAAATATATAGTATTGTAAGAGTGTTGGGTACCAAAATTGCTGGTTCTTTTTCCGTAGTTTACTGATCGAAAGACATTTTAGGCAGGCAGGTTTTTGTCTTAAAGTGCTTGATATCAAAAGGTAAGGATAGAGTGTTAATAGAATTAATGTGTAGAAACTTGTCACTTAATTGAGTGGTATTATTTCAGTCATGCCGATTTTGAAGTATTGTGAGCACATTGTTGCAATGCTTTCACTCTTCAGGGATATATATATATATATATATATATATATATATATATATATATGGGTCAGCTGAATAGTTCATAGACTGACCAAGGTATAAATGTAAGTAGAAACACCAATTGGTAGACTAAAAGGCAAGTGTATTATAATACAGCAGCTGGTTGGCCACTTGTATTCTGGTACGCTTGCATGTCTTTTCATCTGTCTTTCTACTTACATTTATATCTTGGTCTGCCTATGGACTTTCCAGCTGACTTTCGTATATACAGGATGTTCACAAAGTCAAATAGAAAAAAATTATTAGAATTACAACAGAAACTGGATACTGTTGAAATGTTTGCATAATATGAAATAGTGGAGTTTATACACAAATAGTTAATAAATTTCTATATGGGCCATATTCAGCGAACAAAGGATGTCTAAGCAATATTCAATTTCAGTGTCTGTCTGAAACATAAAAAACATTAATTACTGTCAGAAATATAAACATATTAATAACATTATTAATATCATTAAAAGTATTTTAGTAATAATTTATTAAAATGCAATAAAAATTTAGTTACTGCCTTTTCTAAGTTTTTCATATTAACTTTTTGAAATTATCTAAAAAATTTGTTTACACCACACACACACACATATATATACACACACACACATATGCAAGTATGTGTGTGTATGTATATTTTCTATCATACCTTACAAAATATATATATATATATATATATATATATATATATATATATATATATATATTATATAGGTATGCTATATTTATGAGTTAAAGAGCTCAATATCAGAAATAGTAAATATAAAAGTCAACATTGAGGTCAATGCCCAACAGCAACAGTTCGTTTCATGCCTAAATGCAATCAGGGTCTGATGATTGTGTTTGAGCATGAAACCCTGTTACTGCTGGGTGTTAACATCAATATCCACTTTATTTATTTTATATATATATATATATATATATATATATATATAATTACCAGGTGAGATAACAGTTTTGGTGATTAGTACTGCCTTAGCCAACGAAACTGTGTTACCTTCCCTGGTTGGCAGCTGATGAGGGCAGGGTTTCACACATGCTTTCAGATGTTGTATGTAGAAAATATATGGTACATGTCTATTATCAAACAATATCCTAACATTGGTATTTTTGCCCTTTTATCTAGGGGTTGCCAGTTTTAATCAGTTTAGTATTTAAAGTAGATTACTAAACAATTACTAACTTTAGTTTTCTTTATTAATCTTTGTAACTTACTACTACTACTACTACTACTACCACCACCACCACCACCATCTACCATTTGACTCTTAAACACGCCTTTGATTGTATTGCAGTAAAGAGTACAAAATGGGGGATGCAAGCACCGAGCTTGCCCTCCGTGGCTACCGGAAAATGGGAGGAGCCTCAGCCAACGCGTTGCAGATTCTTAGACACACATTTCCACATGTGGACAAATCTTTGGTTTTCAACATTTGGATGTCGTAAGTCTATCCTCTTCTTCTTGCTCATCAACCTGTTTATGATTTGCTTAATTCAACTTTATTTTTTTTATCAGTCAAGTTCAACATTTTCTTAGAATCTTTTGTTGTGTTTTTCTTTTTTCATCTTTAATGATTTATTTGTAGCCATGAGATGTTAAATGTTTTGCATGATGTTGGGATTATGCTATGCATCCCTAAGTAAATGTTGTCTATGTATAGTGATTGGTGTTTTTTTATGAAATTCTAAATGTGCATTCTCTCTTTCATACTGAACTTTCCTTTTGTTTTCAATATACAAGTGTACAACAACTGAGGTTTTTGAACTGACCACCCAGACTGTTCATATATATGATTTGATTATAGTGATGAAGGCTTGTGCAGAATTGACGACACTTTTGGGAAGAGCCGAAAACAAAGAACTGGTGCACATAGTGTGCTACAGGGTCCCCAAATGACTGACCTTAGGTTTTGATTTCAGAGTTGTCTATTTCCTAGACCAGTTGCCATCCTAGGCTATAGGACCAAGGCATTATTTAGACATAGCTAGGGAAAGAGATGACTCTTAGATATTTCAAGGGTATTTGCACATAAGTGAATCTAAAAAAACTCAACTGGAATTGGAACTCTACTTTTTCTGTCAGGGGAATCTAGTTGTAGCCAGTTTTCCTTTCTGGCACAATAAAAAAAAATATGTTCCTTATTTTATAGCCATTTGTTTCTTTTCTTTTTATATACTCCATTTAATGCAGAAATATAGCAATTTTTAAACAATATACTCATGGATAAGCAATCCCAAAAATTTATTTTTATGTATATTAAAAAGACCTTTTAAAAGTATTTAAATTAGAGCACTCTTATATAAATAAGGACAGGAATATACAAATCATATAATAATGGACTCTCCCATCAGTTTCGACGTATGAAGATCTGACAGCTTATTGATTCAGTTATGAAAGTTTGTGCGATAATCTTAAATGGCATTTAAGACCCGCTAGTGATTTACAAAGGAGGCCACATATGGAGCAAGTGTGAGGATTGTGAGATGAGATCACTGTTAGATTGTCTGACCTTTTAGATCTTGCTCTCGCTTCTTGAAGATGATTCAGACAAGAAGATTGAAAATTACTGAGTCCACTAAAACACATTGATCTCCATTCTACCCGCTCCAAAGCTAAGCGCTCAAGGTTGTTATGTGGTATATTAACTGCTGACAAGTTGCTTTTCAGCTTGTCTTTGTATCTAGCCATGGGCGTCCTACAAATCATATATATATGTCATGTCTACCAGCCTGGGCATTCAAGAGTCTTAATAAAGAAAATATATCCTTTGAAAGGTCCCAATAATAGATGTGTATTTTTTAAAAATGGTAATTGAAGATTGCTTTGCTGCAAAGTGTTTTGTGGCTGAACAGTCTAAAGCACACCTAGCTCAAAGATGGTTTCCCCAATATAAGGGGGACACAGGTTTTAACCCAACCAAACAACATATTTTTTTTATTAAGATTCTGAAATACCCAGAACAGTACATATGAATTACACTGTTTAACAAAAAAATAACAGGTATATCTATTCAAATACATGTATCTACTGAATATAATGTTTATACTAAGATAAATATTTTAGGAAGTGCTATATTTATAGGGGAATAGTGCTCCTGACATCCACAACTAATAACAAGTATAACTCATACAGGTTTCATATTTGATTTTTATAACTATTCTCTTTTTCTTTTCTTTTCTTATCAAATGCCAATTAGTAAAGATTTTTATGTGTTGATTTGCTCATCTAATTAAAAATGTTCTTTTTCAGCATAACTCTCTCATAGAAGGACTTTTTATTTGAAATGTCATGAAAAAATGAAACACTGAATTATTATTTTTAAATTATATCTGATCAGAAAGATTCTGCAGTTTATCAGCCACTGCCTCTTTCCAGCCAGTCAGTGAAAAATCATTGAATTTCTATTTCAGTGGAATTTTCATTTATGTATGGTAACCTTTCAACTCTTCACAACTTCCTATCATTATCACCTCGTTAGAAAACACAGACATTTAATTAACATGTTTAAGTTTTTTTGACTCGGTTAAAAATAGTCTTTTAAATTTTATTAATAGCAAAAAATGAGATTTATTTTACCTTCATTTATCCTTGAACAGATTAGAATAAAGCGTTCAAATAATGAAATACTTTTTTTTTCATGTTTTCCACTAAACAGAAAATTTTGCATTATGGCTGATAGATGATTGAAATTTTTTACTCTTATAAAAAAACTATTAATAAGCTTTTTTAAAAATTTGAAAAATAAAATGCTGTAAAAAATTTTTTCTAGATATAACATTATGGATTAATAATCACACTATAATAGGGTCCTACTACATGTACTTAATCACCAAAGTTAAGCAGTGTTGAGCCTGGCAGTACTTAGATGGGGGACTGCTTGCGAACAGTTGTTTGACAAGCAATGGTAGAAGTTGTGAAATGATTCAGGGCATTAACAATCCCAAATATATGCAGCATAGGATCTCAATTGAGCTCCCATGCTGCATACATTTTTGATATGTAGTACTTATACAGTAATGAAAAATAAAATGTATTGATTATACAGGGTTGATGGATAAATTGTCATCTAAATTATGCAAAAATAAAAATAACACTGACATCTCATTTTAACACATATATTTACCAAAATTATACAAAAATATCTTGAAATACTAATGAGAAAATTTATTCAATAAAATTGCTTTTGGCTTCAACCATGACCTCCAGAAAATTTCAGAATCTCTTGCATCTCTTCTGGGTGGTCTCCTTGATTAAGTTATTGAATGCTGCCATAATCCTTGCCTTCAGTTCATCTTTGGTGTTACAATGAGTTTTGTTGGTCTCTTGCTCAGAGATGTAAGGGTTGATGTGGTCACAGAAATTGTCTGTCAGCCATGACTGGGTTCTGCTTGTGCAGCAGTCATCCTCTTGAAACCCAGGGCAACATTACCCAGTCAGAGCACTGGATGTAGGCCTCCATGTTTAGTCTGTGGCCCTCACTGATAAATTCAGGAGTTTTTTTCTTATCAGAACAATCAGAATGAGTTTTCTGAACTGCCGTACCTTCATAATCACCATTGGACTCATCCAACTCTTTTTGAATCATCTGCTCTGTTCTCAGATTAACACCCAAACATTCTGAAAAGTTTGTATTGGAGCTTCCAGCACAAACGCCAAGCAGTACAGTATGCCATTTCCAAATTTCTGGGAGAGTGAATTGTGTTAGTGTTTTTTTTTTCTCATAGATGGTGCCCAACTGACCCTACTATATTTTACAGTCGACAAAATCAAAAACAATCCATTCCATCCTATACAAAATATCAATACTGGTATAATACATACTGTATACCTACTTTTCATTCCCCTATCTATCTATCTATATATATTTTGTTTGTAAAATAATGTCTAATTTTAGAATAACCCTTTTGTGTTCTAGTATGTTTTTTTAAAATCATTTCATCCCAGGCAAGGCAGTAATGCTACTAAAACTCAAGGGGAGTGAAAGAGCATGATAAGACTTTAGTAAAGAGAAGTGAGGAGAAAGGACAATAAAAGAATTGCTTTCAGGAAAACAGAAGAATGTGATTGGCATTGCAATTAAATTTTAGAAGATTGTAGGTGGCAAGGAAGCAAGAAATCAGAAGAGATTTCCACAGGCAAGAAGTGCAAGAAAAGAAACTATTAGAATAGAATAGTCAGTTGTATCTAGCTAATGCAACAGTAAAATGGTGAGACCTAATTGCCAATCTAGTAGCACACTTAAATTCATGCAGCTGAGGCACTGAGGAGAACAGCTCATTAGAACAAATGCCATGAAAATATTTATAGAAAAGACACAGAAAAGCCACATCATGTCGATGAGAAAGTGACTGAAGTCAAGATGCCAGGTCAGGATTGATTATATTACAGACCATTTTTTGAATTTTGTCAAGAATTTTGATGTATATAGTAGACACACCAGATATGACAGCATTCGAAGCATGGATGAATGTAAACTTATAAATATGTAAAATAGATTCTGGCAAGAAAAATTGTCTTGCACGACACAGCGAACTAACTTTCCTAGCAGCAGAACTAGCAATTGATTCAATGTAGTTTTTCCACTTCATATTCAGCAGAAAACATTAGCCTCAGAAGGTGCAACATGTTGCTCGCCTGGAGGTTGGCACCAGCTATCCTGATGGCAGGCAGAAAAGGTTCTCTTGAACTATCAATAGAGAGCAGTTTCTTTTTGGCGTTATTAAAGACATTCTTTGCCCCAGATAACAACAAAATGTAGGTCATTTTGTTTTATATCAGATGTCAATTTGACTTTATCAAACCGCTCAGAGATGTAAGGGGTGATGTGGTCACAGAAATTGTCTGTCAGCCATGACTGGGTTCTGCTTGTGCAGCATAGGGTCTTCCAGCAGTCATCCTCAGACAGGAGTAAATAGTTGTATCATCGGTATATACAGCAGATTAAAGAATAAATTTCTTAATAAAATTTTTTATTGGAGGGGTTGAAAATGCATTTATGTTCCATAAAGTTATGGGAGTTGAAGCAAGTGAATAACACTATGCAGACATTTTCTATATTTCTGAGATGAGGTATTGCAATTATTTACATTGTTCAAACTTTTGTCCTCATCTTTATTGCTATATTCACAATACTTCAGCCATTGTACACTATGACTTTTTTCAGGTGATACATGTTGGCATTTTTTAACTGAACCCTTCATTTAGTCCATGGGAGTAACCACTGGGCTACATGGCTCAGGGGATAAAAGCATTGGCTGAAGTAATTCAGTGATTTGACCTGAAGAGTTGTGAGTTCAATACACAGCAGCAGAGATGAGCAAAATTTTCATGGACTAAGACCAAGTTTAATAACATAAGCATCTTTAATCAGTTTTAATCCATACAGTAAATCATTATTGTCTCCAGAAACTTCTTACAATCTCAAAATATTTTCTGGCTTTA